GATTTTTTAAGATTCGAACATGTGTTTTTGAAGAAACACAAGTCTGAAACATTTGAGAAATTTATCGAGTATAAAAATGAAATAGAGAATCAACGAGCAAGAAAGTTAAAATTCTTCGATCAGATCGAGGAGGCGAATACTTGAGCTCAGAATTCTTAGGATTTTTAAAAAAGAATTGGATTCTCTCTCAGGTTACTCCACCATTTACACCACAGCTTAACGGCGTGTCTGAAAGGAGGAATCGTACCCTATTAGATATGGTATGTTCCATGATGAGTAACGTTGAGTTATCTTTTTCATTCTGGGGTATCGTTGGAAACAGCAGCACACTTACTGAATAGGATTCCAACTAAAGCAGTGCCTAAACCTCCATATGAGATATAATATGTGATGAAACCACATCTTAATTATATTAAGATTTGGGGATGTCATGCTTATGTAAAAAAACAAGATCCCAAAAAGTTAGAGGCACGCTCAGTATTGTGTAAATTTATAGGATATCCAAGGAATTCTCAGGGATATCAATTCTACCATATCGATGAACAAAATATAATTGTTTCTCGGTATGCTACATCTTGGAGAAGGAATTTTTTAAAAAAGAAATTAGTGGGAGCATGATAGAACTGGAAGAAATTTCAAAGATACAAATCAATACTGATAATTTAGTAGAACCAGAAAATTCAGTTGTACCAGAAGAACCTCAACCACTTACTGATAATTTAGTAGAACCAGAAAATTCAGTTGTACCAGAAGAACCTCAACCACTCCGCAGATATCCAAGGCGATCTCATGCACCTAGAACCTCAACCACTCCGCAGATATCCAAGGCGATCTCATGCACCTAAGAGACAATATGATTTTCTCGTTAAAGGTAGCATGTTAGATCACGTCATAGATGATGACGAACCTTTGAGTTATCAGCAAGCATCTAAGAGTAGGAACTTTGTTGCTTGGCATGATGTAATGAAATCCGAAATAGACTCTATGTACACCAACAAAGTATAGATCTTAGACAATGCTCCTACAGGGTTGATACTCATAGGTTGTAAATGGTTGTTTAAGAAAAAATTGGGTGTAGATGGAAAAGTAAAGACTTTTAAAGCTAGACTAGTAGCTAAAGGTTTTCGTCAAAGACCTGGTTTGGACTACGATGAAACCTTTTCTCCAATGGCTATACTAAAATCTATTCAGATCTTACTTGCTATAACTGCTCACTATGACTACGAGATCTAGCAAATGAACGTCAAAACTGCATTTCTAAATGGTGATTTAGAAGAGTGCATATATATGTTTCAACCAGAAGGATTTATAGTCAGTGGGAGCAGTGAAAAAGCATGTAAGTTGCTTAAAACCATTTATGGACCGAAGCAAGCATCACGGAGATGAAACATCTGTTTTGATGATGCTATCAAAGAGTTTGGTTTCATCAAAAATCCAGATGAACCATGTGTGTATAAAAGGATAATTGGGAGTATAGTATCGTTTCTTATTTTGTATGTATACGATATACTCTTAATCGGTAATGATATACCATCATTATAAGCATTTAAAATTTGGCTATCAAAAAGATTTTTCATGAAAGATTTGGGTGAAGCATCCTGTATACTGGGTATTCAGATCTATAGAGATAGATCTAGAAGGATATTAGGATTATCCTAATCTAGATACATTGGCAAAGTGCTAAAACGGTTTAGCATGAAAAATTCTAAGAAAGGTTTTTGTACCTGCATCTCCTAGAATCTTCCTCTCTAAAAAGATATCTCCCCAGACTGATGAATAGAGGAAACGCATGAGTCTAATTCCTTATGCCTCGATAGTAGGATCAATCATGTATGTCATGTTATGTACTAGATCGGATATCGCTTATTCACTCAGTTTGGTAAGTAGATATCAATCTAATCATGAAGAAGAGCACTGAAAAGCAATCAAAAATATACTTAAGTACCTAAAAAGGACTAAAGAGTTATTTTTGATATACGGTAAAAGTGACCTCCAAATGGAGGTTTTTTCCGACTCTAGCTTTCAGAGCGATATCGATGATAGTAAATGTGACCTCCAAATGGAGGTTTTTTCCGACTCTAGCTTTCAGAGCGATATCGATGATAGTAAATCTGTTTTAGGATATGTTTTTACCCTCAATAGAGGGGCTGTCAGTTGAAAAAGTTCCAAACAGGACACAATAGCAGACTCTACTATGAAAGCCGAATACATTGGGCAAATAATACAGCCAATGAGCTGTCTGGATGAGGAAGTTTCTTTCAGAGCTGGACGTTATTCCCACCGCTAAAGATCCAGTACCTTTATACTGTGATAGTAATGTTGCAATAGCTCTGACAAAAGAACCCCGACCTCACCATAAGTCCAGACACATTCAGAGGAAGTATCACTTGATCAGTGAGATAGTTGATCGCCAAGAGATCAAGATTGAAAGAGTTAACACAAAAGGTAATATAGCAGATCCATTCACAAAAGCAATTGCTCGTATACAATTTGAAAAACTTTTTGAGCTATTGGGTATTAGATACTACAATGATTGGCCTTAGTACAAATGGGAGTTTGTTAGATATAGGTGCCCTGCAGGTAATAATTGTATATTGTAACAGGACCTATATGAATATAACATCCATGTTTAAAAAGATAGTATGCTATTTTGGTCAGATTTATCTGGTATTTTAATACAGATAAAGTCCTTAGAATGATACTATACTATCAGATATTTCGTATATGATCGTAATGAAGATATTTGATTTATCGCTAACGTATATTCTAAAATGTTCCTAATCGATGAAGTGTTGAAATAGGACATCATCACTTTAGAAAGACTAGTGTATACTCTATTTCTCATTTGATAGGATGATGATCCATCTCTTGGATTATTGATGTGAGACATCAAGATATAGTATACAGGTGACTCATTAGTGAATGAGTTGACTGAATGACTCACTGAGAACATCTAGTTGGTAATTAAACTTAACTGTCAAATAGAAGTTCTCAAGTGATATAGTACATAGTAGTCTCTTGACCTGAGACATGAGTGTAATATCTTACATGTCAGTATAGGTGTACTTAGACTTTTACCTAACCACAATTATCATTGAGTTGTGCATAACGGTTCTTGTTGGATGCATCCCGAGACATAAGTAGATATTGAGATGCTAAGATGAGATTCGTCTTTTCCAGTATAAGGGGTTGATGTTATAAGATTGTTTGATATAACTATAACCAGGAAATCATTGGTCGACGTAAATAAGATAAACTGAGTGTCAGTTTGATCTTATAGGTTATGAGTTTAATATCAACAAACATTAATCGAGCTATTAGGGTTAGACAGTTTTTCATATCCTCGGCTCGATAGTTTGACATGATTTGACGAAAAGACCGGACTGTATAATATTATCACTGAGTGATCCTGATAAAATTGTGTTAGCATTTTGCAGACATTTATCACAACTTATACCCGGGTAGTCTTCATGTGTAGCTAGCACCTCTGTTGTACTTGTGGATATCATCCACTGTCAAGTTTTTAAGTTGGGCCCTAGAGTCACACCAAGTGCGTACTTGAATCCTATGAAACACAATTTATAGAGTAACGCGTATGATTGATACGCATATATGATTTTACCGGATACACAAACGGTTATGTATATCGGTAAAATCAAAGTGCTATGTGCTTAGGAAATGAATTCCAGTATTTTCCATAAAGTTAACTTTTAGTAAACTAGTTGATTTTTTTGTCAACAGTTGACTTTTGGTCAACTCATTGACTTTTTGGTCACATGATGACTTATTAGTCAATGATTGGAAAATTACGAAATATCGTATTTATGAAATACCGTATTAATGTGGTATTTTTATTTATAAAATACACACTTTATTATACCTTGATTAATGAGTCATGAGATGAGTCATTAAGGTGGTATGGTTTGGGAACATGGTTTTAAGCATATAGTTTTGATTCTTCATGACTCTTTGCATGACTCATGAGATGAGTCATTACATGACTCATGAAAGGAATCATTACATTTAGATGACTCATGGCATGACTCATGAGATGGGTCATGACATATCTCACTCTATATATATGAGCGTTCTCTCTTATGAAAAAATTAATGAAAAATTGGCTAATTGATTTTTTTCATAAGAGAATAAAAAAGAAAGCTCTACCTCTTCCTAAACTCAATCTTTGAGTAAGAGTAAGTAGTAGGATTTTATAGTACCCTGGGGTGGATATCTTGTCTTGTGTCTCAAGAAAACTCTGATTTTATCAAGCTCACTTGAAGACTTAGAGATCCACTATAATGAGGTTCACAACAACAAGGATCAAGGGCTACGGGTTGTTCGATCTTGCACCAAATCACGCTTCGAAAGTATAACTTTCTAATTCTTATATGCTCTTTAATATAGGGATCAAGTTAGATTTAATTAGGATGGTCCTAGCTTGTTTTTTCATGCTCTCTACATGCTTAGCATTATTATACATACAGTCTTCCGTTGCGTATTTTGCATGTATTTAGCACGAATTTCCAGCATTTCCAGCAGAGGGTATGCGAGAGGATGTAACGAACTTGGAAGTAAGCAATCAAATCTCTATTTCTTCTCTCTTCCCCAATGCTTCTCCTCCATCTCTCTTCCTTCTAACCCTTTTCCTGATATCCTTGACATTGGAAGGTTGAAGGCGTGGACACAATCAGGCCACTGGTTCTGACACTTCCAAGTCACAATAGTTATGGAGCAACCTCAAATTACTTCAAAGTGAGGTTATCAGTCTACTACAACTAATACAAGGTGCATTCATCTCACTTTAACAAAATATCAAATTTAATTAAAAATACACGATCTTTCAATACCTAATCATCCCAAATTAGGGTTCGTAGCGCTAGTGAATTAGATTCAAGCAAACCCATCAAAATTATACATGCTCCTCAATCGACAAAAAAAAGTGCAAGCGATCATACGTAAAAAGCCGCAATCGAAGCAGAATTCTATAAAATTTCACTCACCTTTCAGAACTCAGATCGCAAGCATGGCCTCTTCAGCATCACAATCGAATAACAAATCGAGAAGAAAGAAGAGAATTGAGATCAAAATTGAGCAAAAACAGAGATCATATAATTGAGGGAGATACGAGATCTGGTTACTTGACCTAATTCTTAGCAGCGAATAAAAAAATGAGATCTTCTGGAATGTGCAATTAAATAAGTGTAGCTGTATACGTGGCGGATTTATGCTCTAGCCTCGTTGTTGTCCCTTGACAAATATCTTTAGGCCTAATTACGATTGTTTAATTTAATGACTTGGTTTAACAGGTGTTGATTTTTCAGTTAATTAGCGATTATACCCGCTATTAAGCTGATGACAAGTGTTTAGAGTACCGTAGGCTGTTTAGAAAGGGGAGCTGGTGAATATCGGTCTTTTTTAACTGTAGGATAGGATCTCGTTAATGTGGGTGTTTATAGAGTTGGGAACGTGTCATCATCGGTTGCTTATGAGGTGGCAATAAATGAAAAAAAAATCACGTAATGACCGTTGGTCTGCGAATTGCATTTCGAAAATTACTTACAAAGTCTTGTTTTATTTGGAATGGATATAGTTTATAAATTGCATGAATGAATCTTTTCAATTTTTGTTTGATTAGATATGAATTTTGAGGTGTATCAATAGTAGAATTAGGGAGAACTGATAATGATAGTGAAAAAAAAAAAGAAACAGAATACGAGAATACACTAGTATAATTATAGTCAAGGATGTTTTGCTTCCTTGACAGGCTAGTCATGTCCTTGACAAGCGGCCAGTGAAGGATATTTTTTGAACCCACTATGAAAAACTTGGTGGGCGAACTCTCCCCAAAGATTTCCCCGTAATCTCCTCCTCCCCCCTCCTCCTCTTCCCCTTCTCTCACAACTCTCTCTTATCCTATCCCACTCCTAAGACCGACTCCCAAAACTGACTCCCACATTGTGAAAACAACCTCATATCACTAGGACGTAACTCTAGAGGAGGGTGAATTGGGTTTATGCTAATCTAATCCGATTTATGTCAAATTAAAACTTATTAACAAATATATCCTAGCAAATGAGATATGACAATATATATGCAAAGATATACTAGTAAACACAATGGTGAAATAAACATAAAATAAGATAGTAAGCAATATAAACAATGAGCAATTAACAAAGACGGTATAAGATGAACACAAAAATAAGTGCGTCAATGCAAACTCAAACAAGCGATATGATCACGGAGTTCGGTCCCCACGACCTACGTCTCCGCTCCTCACCTCGAGGAGATCTCCAGTATCACAATTGGGTTTTCTACGCTCACCCGAATAACGTTTATACTTCACACTCGGTTTTCTAGCTCAACGAAAACTTTACAATCACTCACAATATAAACATACTAACTACCACATCAAGTGTTGGTCTCTAGCTTGTGTCTCCCTCAAGCGTTAGGAATTACAACCTCTCTCTAGGCATTACCACCTACCCCACTCCTCTTGGGAAGACCCCGTCTCTCACCACACACTCCTCTCGGTGTACTAGTGTAATACAAAGTGAACCTCATAATTAAGCTCGCTAACAACAAATGATTTGTTCTCTAAATAATGTGAGAACACAATATAAGCTCACTCTCAATGTCACACTCCCCACAACTCAAATTATACTATGTATGAAATACAATAAGCTCAATGGTTGTGTGTGTAAACAAAGAGTATCAATAATTTAAACTCAATAATGAACTCTAGCTTATGGAAATTAGAATCATAACAATAAAATAGCTAGAATTAAGTTTAAGGAAACTTCTCTATAGATAACAAGAGAGAGGGAGAAGAGTGAATGCTCAAACACCAAAGGATGATCTCCACTTTGCTCTTGTGAAAATTGCTTCACAAACTAAACTTGAAACAAACACTAAAACAAACTTAGAACCATTGTAAAACTTGTTTTAAACACTTCTTGGATAGTTTTTGGTCTGAAGTATGAAGGGTATTTATAGAGACCCCAAAACACAAGAAAAACAAAGCAAAAAAGATCAAAAACCCAAAAACAGGACAAGGCTGGAAAAAACTAGCCGTTACAGCATCAGTCGACTGACGGCTTTCATCAGTCGACTGATGAGCTGACCGTTAGAGGCATTTTACAGTTCATCAGTCGACTGACGACATTTATTAGTCGATTGATGGATCATCAGTCGACTGGTCAGTCGACCAAATTGAAACAGAAACTTTTTGTTATTCTAGACGATTTCTTCTGTTGACTGAACACATTCATCAGTCGACTGATAACACTATATCAGCTTAATTTAAATAGTAAAACCGATTTTTAAACCTCTTTTAAAAATAGCAAATAAAATCAGAAAAATATAAAACTTTGGGAAATGATTGTAGACATGATAATACACATGTTACAAAAAATGGTTTTTAAAAATCATCTCCCATTTATAAATTATCATCATTTTACAAATATGTCCAAAACATGAAAACATGAGATACTTGAATTTTGATGTTTGACTTAAACCAAGTTTTGAAACTTTGTAAAATAATTTTATAGACTTAATGAAAGATATAACTATTGTTGTTAAGTCTATAAGCCAAAAACACTATGTTTTACATATTTTACAATAAACATGATTTCATTGACTAAATAAACTTGATATTGATAAAATCATATATAAGTATATAAACATGAAACATGTATGTATTTTTCAATTATATTCATTTGTTTCATATTTAAACTTGAAAGCTTATAAAACCAAAACATGTATATATAACGATATATATACAAAACCAAATACGTGTGTGTGTATATATGAGTTTAAAATACCAACACACATAATATAAAAACCTAAACTAAATATACCCATGCTTGTGATCTTCAACGAAGTTCTATCTTGGTACACTTGCGGATGAAGCTTGAACTTGGATTTTTAACTTGAATTGCATTGTTTCACTCCACTATTTTCGCCAACCTCATTTGATATAATCATTGTGGTGCAATTCCATCCATCCTCTAACATATTATTTGCCTAGAATAGATACAGAACACAAACACTAGACAAACAACATTAGATGTAAATTGTTTGTAAATCATCATCAAAACAAAAGGACCCAACACATTGTACCATCAGTCGCCGCCTCGCCGCTGCCGCTCCCACTGCCGATCGCCATGCCACTGGCTTCTCCTTCTCCTTCCCCTTCACTATAAGGTATGTTTTCATGTTAATTTTAAATTTTTTTTAGCAATTTATATAGTTTACTGTTTAATTTTGTTTGGATTTCTCAAATTCAAAACCCTAATTAACTTTAAACTGAATCCAATCCCTAACTTAAAAAAACCTAATTCAATCCTAGTAAATCTAATAAAAATTACCCTCATCCTAAAGCTCAATAACATTACAATAAATGTAGAACTCTAACCTAACTTTCACCTTACTTTTATCTCTAATAAGAGTAATTCAACTTTACTAACATTTGTTATGACCATGATTAACATAAGTGTTAATCTTCCTCCTTGAGTCAGCACACGTCACATATCAGCATTAATCAATCATGTTATCTCACCACAACCAGAGACGACCCGTATCGCCTGGGCACTCACCTCTTCGCGAGTCAGGCCGAGTCGAGACCTACTCTCGCCCGACCTCATCTAGCAAATCGGCCACCCTCATCCACTCAGAGCCATATCGACAACTTGTAAAGCTAACTAGAAAGGCGATACTTGTCATCGCTCGCATAGAGCCAAGTCAGGAGGCAATTCGTCACTGAACTCCACACCTACAGTTGTCTATTTTCATCATAGCTGGTGCCATGAGTCTACATGACTCATCACCCCCCATACCTCCTTAATCACCATCACATCTTGATTGACTCACCGCATGCGTAGTCGACACATATCAACTTTATCGATCCAGCTGTCAGTCTAGACTCGACCATAGTTACACTTCTACCACCTTTCAATCGGGTATAAATATGGGTTCAACACCTATTGATAAAGGGCTGATCCTCAAGCCCCTTTATGGAACACAACTATGCAATTTCTACATACTTAAACTAAGAACGTATTCAGTTCATTGGTTTCTTCTCCACTCAAGGACAAATACCGACTTGACCGTTGGAGGAATCACTGGAGAACCCAACTATTGTCATCTAATGTGCCTATTTTGCATCTTACTCATTCTAAACAGGGATCGATCGTTCAAAGGGATGAGGTTACCCGCGTCGCGCATATTGACTCTAAGCCTCGTTGCTAAACTTTGGATTACTCGCTAGTCTCACTACTGAGTCTCAGGACATCAACACTGGAGCTCATCATGGAACCTTTTCATCTCCCTTTGATGAACTATCCCCTATGTTCGAGTGTCAGAAGAAGTTACCATCTCTATCTAAGCTGCCAAGAGTTTTCTCCATAAGGCTATGGAGGCGAGTTGGTCATAATACATCTTCGAAGAAAGGTAAGATACTATCTTCAAAATATTTTTCCTGCTATATTTAATACACAACTTTCATTGATCGGTCATCATCGATTTGAAAGCCCTTGGTATCATTTTCATGAGTAAAACCAAGGCACGTCCTCGACAAAAAGACCTTGATACCTATTAAGGGTAAAACCAAAGCATGCCATCAACTCGGTCGGCTTCGACTCGAAAGACTTTGGTATCATTTTCATGAGTAAAACCTAGGCACATCCTCAAGAAAAAGACCTTGGTACCTATTTAGGGTAAAATCAAGGCATGCCATCAACTCCGTCAGCACCAACTCAAAAAACATTGCTATCATTGTCATGAGTAAAAGTAAGGCACAACATCAGCAAAAAGACCTTGGTACCTATTCAAGGTAAAACCAAGGCACGTCAACCCAGTCTAGATTGACAAAAAGACATTGGCATCTTCCTAAGTCTAAGGCACGTACCCTAAGACCTTGGTGTCATCGCGAGTAAACCCAAGGCACGAGGTTGAGTCGCCGTACTCGTCACAACACAGAGCCGAGTCGCGTCAACCTAGAAACAGACTTGTACTCAAATAAAGCAGATTGCAAACTCTTAACACACAAGAATGCATCTCAAAGGTACACAGTTCAAATTGACAAATATATCATATATGAAACAATTTACAATACAAAAGTGTAAAAAAAAGAAAGAGAGATACATGAGCCCCTAAGAGGTCGGACTCAAGAGACAAGCGTGATTGAGAGGTATAGAAGATTGACCCT